CCTGATAAAGTAGAAAAACAAGGGATATTGAAAGTCTTTTAACATGGATTTTTAGCTTTTATATGAAGGTATGTGTTCACATATTTAGCAAATCGATCCAACAATTCGTTCGACAAATATTTTAACTTTCATAAGATGCTCGCGAGGGATTTGAACATTCGGAGACCCTAATCCTCATAAAGTACAAAAACTGGTATATTGAAAGTCTTTTAACATTTTTAGCTTTCACATCGTTATATCAAGTTCTCGTTTTCATTTAGTAATTAAAATCGACTAATTTTTCGGGGAAAATAACGGTGAGATTAGAAAACGTTGGGTTTAATTTGCACATCTCGTTAAACGAAGTTCTCGATTCGAAGGGTCGGGAGGGGTTATTTATCCAGAAGTTTGAAATCATTTCGAAAGTTGGTTGATGGGATCTCGCGGTGGCCACATATCAGTCGAGAGAGCACGCCTTTAAACAACTTGCCAGGCAACCCTTTCGACAATATCGTTCCTGTATCGGGGAAACGGTTATCATCGTCTCTGGCCGTGCTCGGCGTTCTCAAAGATCGGCAATCAGCGATACCATGATAATTCTGGCTTGTAATTTCCGAAGGCCAGAGTAATGCGTGCACGGCAGGAAGGCCATAGGATTAAGCGGCAAGGGGAGAGAAGAGCGGAAATGGGGGCTGGCTGCAGGGAATAAGAGGGGTAAAAGGGTTTCGTAGAGTACCGCGAAGGGGCGAGGACGGAAGAATAGAAGAGATATCGCGGGGCCATAGACCGCTTCCGCGTCTACGCGGATATTCTCGGATATTTTGGGGGGGCGCTAGCTCGAAATAGTTTCGAGTTTTAGGCATTTCAGATATTTCGCGCTCTACACGAGCATCACCGGCGCTGTGGCGAGTCTCGAGCCTCGAATAGCTCGAGAGTTTCAACATTTTTGCGGGCCCACGCCTTGTAATTAACACACGGGGGCGTTGCAAAAGATTTCTTTTGTAAATCATAATTAGAGCAACGCGAACCTGGATCGTGTCTAACTCGCTGGGCGCCATTTTGGTTGCATTCGTAGTAATCTTATGCAACGTGTGCAGTATATTCAATAGACCAACTGAATATTTAGGTATTAGTATCTTAATTCTTTGATAAAACGTGAAAATTGAATCGCGTCTCGAATTTTTCCCTCCGCGCTGGATAATTCTATTTCCCATCGCGCCCAAGAATTTTCTGAGACCTTCTTTCCCCGGAACCTGCTTTCCCGCGAGTGTCTCTAAAAGCTCTTCTTGAAAGGAGTATTGAAAAAAAAAATTAATAATAATAAAGTAAAGGGGGAGAAGAGAGAAAAATGAAAGCGACATCGTCGGGGTAAATTACTCCTAGGGGTTCGATTCGACGTAAAATTCTATTCGCGTTTGCAAACCGGGTTGCATGCACGGTCCCGTAATAATATAGATGACTCCGATGCGATTAGGAACGCAAGCTCGGAGAAGATGGCCCTTCAGAGGTGCTTACCAGACGTTCTCTATCTTTGTCCCGCTGTCTGAGGCTCGCTTGCAATATTCGAGGCTTGGCTTCCCGGTAAGCGTCCTTTCACGGACCCCTTCATTCCCTCGCAGGGGTGCTCTCGTTCCGTTCGCTACCCTAAAGGACTCCAGGTGAGTATCTGCTACTTAACACGGACCCCGCGCATACATTTTTAATCGGCTTGTCGTGTCTGACATCTTTCCGCGAATCGATCCCGAGATCCCAGCGACAAATCGATTCGAGGTCTCTTCTACAGTTTCACGGTCTGTGATTGGACAAACCATTTCAACCAAGTTTTCAGAGGATCTGACCTCATCAGGTCTCATAATAATATTTTGCAGTATTATAGATTGCAACTGGAGCTATAAAGTGTAAAAAAATCGCTCATTCAGGTATATTTTAACCCCTTAATGCTCATATTTTTCGGGCCAACAATGATCAGTTTTCTTTATTGGATTTCTTTCTAAAAATACAGTTTTTGTTAATTACAATGTTAAAACATTGTTAAAACAAATATTATCATCCCTTAAACCGTTGGATTAAACAAATATTATTTTTCATAGCAGTCAGACTCGAGCATGAACGTTAAGGGGTTAAGTTGAGGGTTAGGTTAGAAACTAGGAATATTCTGTCTCAGGATCGAACCCCATAACTCGTAGAATTTAAAAAAATTCCTTTTTCTATTAATTTCATTACTGATTTTGACAACTCCATTATTGTAGAACTTAATATAGGATTTGTTTTACGAATAGGTATGAATGTGTTAATTGTAATATATTGAACCAAATGACACATGTAGCTCCATTATTGCAATAATGATTTTGACAATCTCTATTATTTTTCTTAATCACGAACAGTAAAGAGCTGTACATAGTTTGAAGCATGAGCAGATCAATTTTATTTTGAATACGAATTTGAATTTGCTATATAAAAATAAACAAGTACCAGAGACTATCTTTTATAGTTTTCGTTTCGTTTCGATTCAAAGTTAATTAACACAGCAATTGGACAGTAATTAGCAAATATACACAGATTACATTTAGCCAAATTAATCCCATGATAAATGTTACGAAAAAGGCTATTTATCGTTCAGAATGCTTTCCCCCGTCGTCAACCGGAAGACGAGCAGGCTAGTACATCGTGTTCCCCTTAAATACACCATGAGACGCGTCGGGCCAAGGCACGGTGGGGTTAAAAGCGTTTCGACAAGTCGAACAATCCCCGAAACGTCGTGCACCGACTCCCAGGTTCCTTTTCCACCCCCTGCGACCCACCCCTTCTTTTATTACGTTGTAATATAGCCCCCGTTCCCCAACGGGGGGCGCAGCAAGAGGTAATAGCGTTCCACGACTATTACTTATACCACGGGTTCCCCTTTCGTCATTCTTCCCGTCGCTTTTCGTCTTCTGTCCATCCTTCGAGCTGTCGTTGTACCTCGGTTTTCCGGCCCTCCCTTTGTACGCGATCTTCCAGGGGCTGTTCCCGTCTCTCCTCTCCCCCCGAATCTCCCGGCGACTTATGCATTTTTCACTTACACTGATTTCTGTTTTCGCGGCGGTGTGCGTTCGGGATCTATCTCGATGGATCGCCGATGGTGCTTCGTCTCTATCGCGTTTCTTTATTGCGTTCGTATACTGGATGGCCTCCAAACACGTGGCAATTTTTTTTGAGGGAGAATTAACAAAACTGGAGGTTTAGGGATGACTCAATACCAGAAAATTTAATTTCAAGTTTAGTGATGGCTCGACACGAGCTGGGCGAACGCTTCTGATGGTCCACGTTCTTGCAATTTCGCGTACTTATTTTAGTTCTGTCTAGATACCGCACACGTTTAATTTCCGCCCGTAAGCCCGCGATAGCAACGGAGGTCGCAAAAACGCTCAAAAGGAGGCGGCTAACGATAATGGCAAGTGTGTCTTATGATTCCGCGACGCTGAACGAACTCGAGTTTTGTCACTCACGCGAGATTGTCTCGAGCTTTTGCGGATCCTCGCGCTATAATCGTTCCAACTGAGACAGAGATAATAAAAAAACTTAATATTATGCCTATAAAAATCTATTAACCCCTCATTATAATTCTTGAAGTCAAGTTTCACAATCGTGACGCTACTGGTCATCAAGTCTTATGTTTTACATTCACGAGATATTCGTAAAACAAATCTATACATTTTCGTGGCCACCGTACGAACAAACTTAACCAAAAATTAAATAGTATGCGTCTAAAAAGTCTAATACTGTGAGTTCGTGAAAAGTAGACTAGGAAATAACATTGTTTTCTCCGCCCACCCCCACCATCGTCGTTTCGACCAATAGGCGCGATAGAGTGGGGATCCAGTCACCAATCAGACCCGTGTTCCTTTCACCAGCGAACTCCACGCGCACCAAACTTTTCAAACTCGATTTTCTCGAAAACGAAACGCCCTATGAAAAATTTTCATTCTCCACTTTTGGTGTATTTTTGCTTGATAAAAATAACGGGTGTAAAAAAAGTATCGATTTCAAACGATAATATAGAAAGAGGCGCCGAAAGAAGGAGCACAAGTGGAAAAGTCTGAAATGCGAGGCGTGTAGCGGCAATTATCGTTGTCTGCTTTCCTCAGGAACACGCTGACTCGTGGAAAACGTAAACGCGGGGCATTCCGTCTCGAGGGCCAGAGTGTTAAACACAAAATTTCTTTAATCTGGTGAAGTAACGCGCAAAGACAGAGAGCAAGAGAGGATTCTTCGTTTCGCTAAGTTGGTAACAATTAGTAGTTAGTAACCCCCAAGCGACTTCGTAGCCTGGCAGCAACGGTTATTGCGGGTCTGGCAATGGTACTAACGATGCGTACGCAAACTTTACATTTATCGTTATTGCGCCCCCCGTCAAGTTCCTCTGCCGGCTGTTCTTCGTTTCCGTCGCCATTCCTTTCTTCTGCTTTTCATCCCCGTTCGCCGTTTCTTTCCTCCTGCATTTTTCTTCCTCAAATTTCCTCCGTTCGTCGATCCTCCAGACAATTCTACGCGCCGTCGTCTTCGTTTTCGTAGCCAATTTCTCTTCTGCGCCTCGTTTCTCAGTTTACATTTTCAGATAAAAAATTCTATTTTATTCCGTGGATCCATTTTGCTAAATTTTCTTTCCACGTTCGTTTAAAAATATTCGTCGATGTATCGAATAATAGTGTAACAAATCGTCCAAAAAGCAGTAACAATTAGAAAAGTAAAGTGAAAATATTGCTTGCGTTTAATTAAAGCTTCCATACTTGATTTCTTAATTAAGGAAATTCAATAAACTATGCAATATTGCAACTGGAAGGAAGTCGGTTGGAACAGGATTAAAATAATTTAACGCCAAATAGTTTCTCTGCTTATTAAATTTTAATATTTCTGCGCGAACGTTTTAATACACTACGATCTCAATAAACGTGAAACGATGTTAATGTTGAAATATTAATAATTTTAAATGCAACTTGAACGACAGCATTCTTAACAATGAGAAAGTTCGAGATAAAAAACATCTGCCTTCGTGTATCGTGCTTTTCAATTTACACAAGTTTACTTCCACGCTTTCACGTTCGATAGACCTATTATTCTACAATTTGAACAGCAAAGTTTGAATAGGAACAGCGTTTTATTATTGCAATTAAATATTAGTCTTTTATAAAAAGAGAACAGGGAAAAATAGGAACATGTTTTATTGGAAGGAATAACCACGTAGAACTTTCTTTGCAAACGATATTGCATTGGGAAAACGAACATTCAGTGAACTATATTACATTTGAGGTAGTGAAGTTAGATAAAAATTATTTACCCTGTGAAAATCGATTTTAGTGTTTCTTGTTCGTTTTTGGACCCAAAATATGAACGATAGACGTTCGTCTTTGGTGATAGTTTATACGAGACGTGCGATTTACCATAAGAGGACAGAAAACCGAACATCTTTCCATAAAAAAAAGTTTCTAGCCAAGATCGTTCTACCTGGCTTATTATCGAGTTAGTCTAACAACTGTGCAGGGTCGTCAAATTAAGACAGCGTTACCCCGAAATGGTTTCGTTACCACGGATGCAGGATTCCCTGCTCGTCTCGACTTATCCTTGATCCTCCCGAATTGTTCCTTGATACTCTCAGCCCGGAGTTCGATAAAGCTCCATGTTGGATTTCGAGGGATGGGCGAAAGAAATCGCGGAGACGCTTCAGTTTTTTTGCGGTTTTATCATCCGGCTGGCCGGGGGTGACAATTTGTTGAAACCCGCGTTGTCGAACACCGGAAGTAGATCTCTGACCCTCTGCCCGGCGCCAATGGCCGCCAACTCGAGCCACCTGAAGCAATGGTAGCACTTAGTTTCGTAGCCTGACTAAAATTAGTGAATTCTATTCAAATTTATTTCCTTTGACATTTCAACCTTAGAATTAATTGTTCTAGTTCCATAAAAAAAATTCTATCATGCAGATACGTCCAAAATAAGACGAAAGTCAAGGATAATAATTTGTTGATTGAGGCTTCGTTAAAAAGTTATAAAAACATTTCCAACCACACAGTATATTTTCGGTAAAGAATTTTTTTCTCGAAAGTACGTAGGATTTCGGGGGTATGTATATTCACCAAAGACGACTGTAAATAACTCCCCTAACTAAAAATAATTTTCTTAAAACGATTTAAAATTTTTTTCAAACGTATACTATTTAATTTCGTTCTGTTCGCACAAGGAATGGTCACAAAAGGAATAGATTTGTTTTACGAATATCTCGTGAATGTATAAATGTGTGGATTTTAATATACAGGGTGTTCGGCCACCCCTGGGAACAATTTTAATGAGAGATTCTAGAGAGATTCTCAAGTGTCAAACTACGGTCACCTTGAGTCCATGGGAATTTTGTTCTCGAAAGTGGGTAAGATTTCGGGGGTATGTGTATCCACCAAAAATGATTGTAATTGACCCCTCCAATCGAAAATAATTTTTTTAGAACGATTTGAAATCTTTTTTTCGTCGTAAAATTTCTCAACTTCTCGAATTTTTTTCTAGAAAATGGATAAGAATTCGGGGGTATGCCTATTTATAAAAAATGATTGAAATTGTCCCCTGCAACCGAAAATAATTTTTTTAGAACGATTAGAAAATTTTTATTTTCACTGAAAAATTTAGGCACCTACCCCCTGTCGATTTTTCTTAGGACTTCGTTTTTCATTTTTAATACATTTGTTTGACGTTCTACAGAAAAATTGTCTAATACTTTTTTGTAGGTACACATGGGCTTTGTCTCAGAAAAAAATTTCAATGAGATCCATTGACTATTGTAGGAGTTATGGCCGTTTGAAAATTGGGCTATTTCTAGGGGGGTTTTCTAACTTTACGGGGATGAAGGAACAATTTTCCGAATATTTTTGCAATTTTTACATATTCTCCACTAAAATACGCGTCGTTTGCCGCTTGAAACATTAAAATCGTCCAATCCGTTCAGAAGTTATGACGTTTTAAAGATTTAAAGAAATTTCAGTGAACCATATCAACGCCATGGTCAGACATGTAATTTTCAGTAATGAATTTTTTTCTCGAAAATGCGTAGGAATTCGGGGGTGTGTCTAATCGCCAAAAATGCTTGTAATTCACCCCCGGAACCGTGAATAATTTTTTTAGAACGATTTGAAATTTTTTAATTTCATTTTTTAATAACTTTTTAACGAAACCTCTTCCATCTTAATCTTCCATTAAAATTTTTCCCAGGTCGAACACCCTTCTTCTGCAAGTCAACGTAAGACAAACTACGAACATGGGACAGAAAATGTTTAATAAAATTGAAAAATATCCAAACGTTATTAAGAGCCAAAGATTTAGTCGATCGAATTTATTAAAAGAACGCTGAAGGAATTGAGGATACGTTAGAAATGAATATGGAGGATGGTGGATAGGGACACGGGATCCGTGATAAATTGAAATTGATTTTGATGCGTCTCGATGGGTCACGCGGAGAACGTTTCGCAAGGATACGCGATCACATTCATTTCCCACCTGTTGTTTTTGTATTTGGCGAAGGGTTGAGCAGCCGGGTGGAGTGTTTCGGTGGGGAAATATGTGGCCCCATAAAAATCCAGACCGCGGCTCAACAGCATCGTGGTCTCCTCCATGTTGGCCAGGGTAACCCTTATAACGGGTGGCCCCGTGTAAATCGTCGCCGGCTCGTTCTGGCTGTGAGCGTCGCTTTTCAGCTTGTCGTTGATCGCTTTCACTAATTCACACAGCAGATATCGGGTTACCCATCGGTTGCAGTTAGGGAAATGAGGGAGAAAAGGGCCGGGAATTCGTTCGATCGGGGGCTATCGAGTTAGCGACTATGTTGGAATTTGCGGAATTAGTTACGGGAACGCACGGTTTCCGTTCCGCCGCGTGGCAAGCCAGCTCTAAAATTTTCCCTTTTTTTTCGAACCCCCTAGTTTCCGAACACTGGAAAATTGTTATGGCTCGATTCGAATCGGGAACGAAATTCTGTTTATTCTTAAACCACCCTAAAAGCTGACTCGCGTAATAAATTGGTAGTTAGCTTTAATTCATTAACATGATTATTCTTGACTGTGCACGAGCTTACTATTAACACTTTGGTAGTCTAAAACCGTAAAAGTGGTCGCAGTAGTTACTTTCGTAAAGCTAAACTTTCGAACCCCATTCAAATTTAATTTAATGAGGATGACGTGGCAATCAAAGTGTTAAGGTGTGATATTATCTTCAAGAAAAAGCAAAAATTCATAGGTTTCATAAGGTCCACAGTATCTACATTCGTGCAGGGTCAAGGTCTCTAAATTTATTCGTCCATTTTTTGAAATTTCGACTGTTCTGAGAGTCTCTGGGTGAAAAAATAAGGGTCTATCTTGCTCTACTGTCGCGTGGAGTGATTTTGTTTGATTTGGTGTGAGTTACTCACAAACAGCGCCCGTGTTGAGGGGCAGCCTAGTGACTTCGACTATGGACCGATACTTGTAGAGAGCGTGCCTAATATCCTCTTCGGGTAATTCTTCAGGTACGTCCAAAACGCAGACGGTGAACGTCTTTGCGGGTCTGCAGGGTATGGCGACCTGCGTTCATGAATACGAAACGTCGTATTTAGAGCCGTTTGAAGAGGGAGGGTCCTTTGTGTACCGAAAGATAAGTACCTTCTTGTAGAACCGTGTCCCGGTGACTTTGTGGAAGCCCTTTTTGTAGACCGCCTGAAAATCGTCGATGTTGCTGAACTTGAAGAGTATACCGGTCGCCGTCTTCGTCAAGGAGAACGCGCCGCTGTAACGCAAAGCGAAAACGATGTTTTATCTCTCCACCCCCTCGTTCCTTTATTCTTGCCTCTAGATTCCGTCTTGTTTGTCCCGCAACCCCCTCCACTGTCACGCAATTATCCCGTGGATTTTTCACGGCTAATTTTAATCAGAAAGTTTCTCCTATCTTCACCCGATCGCTGTGCTCCATTATAATTCAAATTACTACTCTTAATCCAATTATATTCCCTGTTAAACCAGTACCTTCCTCCGTCCTAGCACCGCCATTACGGTAAAGAAATTGTTGAAACGGGTGCAACACTTCAACGTGTTCGTTTAAATTAAAACCACTTCGTACTGTTTTAAACAAATTGCAAAAACTCCAGCCTCGAAATTGAACTTTCAACTTAACCTTTCTCTGGCTGGGATAATATGCGTTGCCTCCCGTGCTCGCCACCAGAGGGATTCACGCTCTCACAAGCGCTCGACCGATTCCACATATGCATGCTAACATTATTCAATGATTACGCGATAAATTGGTATATTCCACGATCAATGAGCCCGGAAGTCATTATAATAACGACAACCAAATCGGGACGAAGATCCCACTTATCACGAAACTGAGTGTAACATTAATAAATTCAGCATGCAAATTAATGCAATAACTAATGAACAGTGAATCAAGAGTGGCTCTAGAAAATTACAAAATTATATTTCTGTTACAATGGGGATTTAAACAATTTCAATTGATCCTGAATCAACTCGTGTGAGAGCTTTGATTCCTTTTTTTTTTTTATTTTATAAAAAACCTTTCAAAAAACGATTAACGAAAAGTACATGTACTTTCGCGAGAGATTATTATATCGGGCGGTAGATTGCAGTTTAAAACAGTGCTTCTGGAAAATTAACCGGGCTGATCAGACATTTGTTTCAATATTGCCCCTTGCGGGGAGACTAATTCGTTTCAATTATCGTTCGCGCCGCGGCGCGATGTTACATCGGAACAGTTTGTGAGTTTTGAACTAGATGCAACAGTTCAATATTGGAGTTGCTGTACGTTTATCAGGTAAACAACGCGACAAATTAGTCCATAATTTATGTCTTTTGTTTCGCTTAGATCGGCGTGATTTCGATTACCACGTACACTCGCGATTTACTCTTCTTTGTTCCTCGTAACAATTATTCTATCGCGAAGACTGACAATAAATGACCAAACGAAAAATAATAAACATAGTCTGGAACAATACAATTATAATTATTTTTATTTCACTCTTTTGGAAAGAATTTTAATTCCGAGGCGTAGATTTAAAATTCGATGGGGCTCGAAAGAACAGTAGGAAGAGTTTATTGTTTGCGATTAATAATAAGAACAATATTTAATGTTGTAATATATTTTGTTAGCTATTCATGCAAATTACGTGTTATGAATATAGAATACAGCTCAAAGACTGAATCAATTTATATTAGCGAATGGTGACAAGTGGGCGGAAATTTGCACGAAAATAGCATTAATTAATATTGAAATTGAGAAACGCGAAACAATGGCCATGCAAATTATTAGAAAATTCCTGAAAAATTGTGATATGTAATACTCAATACTGAATATTATACAGGGTGTTCTATCACCCCTGGAAAAAATTTTAATAGGAGATTCTAGAGGCCAAAATAGGCTTCGTTAAAAAGTTATTAAAAAATTACAAACAAATGACAAAACAACGTTGCTGTAAATCTGTGCAAATATTTAGCAAAAAAATCATTAGTTCTGTTAAACACAATTGGGGAATATTCCAGACTAGAAAATGACGAGTACAATGGCGCTGAATTTAATATCTCTTTTATTAACAATGTATTATAAAAGATGTTATAAATTAAATCATTGAAAAATGAGAATATAAAGACAATTTAATATTGCACATCTGGAGATCTTAATAATCGCCTGACGCTTAAATAAATATAAATAAAAAATATTTGCATCCCTTAATCTAGATCACGAAAAAATAAAAATAAATTTTGATCGGAGAATTTTGGGGTTGGAAAAGTGGATGGAAAGGGTGGACGATCCTTACCGAAAGTTCATTTTCTCGCAAATGGTGGCCGCTTTCTCGATGCTGAGGTCGTGGCTGGGCGTCAGTAGAAAGGCACCCTTGGTGAGGAAATCGGTGTCGCTGATCTCGGAATCGGTGTCCTGATCCTGCCAATCGGCGGAGCCGCGACGGTCCTCCTGATTCAGACGCAACAAGGAGCTGCTTTTCGACGCTGACATGTCGTTTTCACACGTGACACTGGCCTCCTCTCCTTTCTGCGACATCTTCTTATAGGCGGTCGAAGTGGGATCGGCTGTCCCTCGATCGAACGTCTCCCGTTACGCGAGATCGACTTCTCCGCGACCGGACACACGCTCTTGACACACTCCTGGACAGTTACGCACCGGTACGCCCCTTTTATATCGGCCAGAACCTCGAGGACTCCCACCGCCATCTTGGAAAACGATCGCGAGAGATCTGGACGTCGTCGGAATTAGGCAAAACGTTATCCATCGCGATTTCAATTGGAAATATTCATAGCGTTGTAAAAAGTGTCTAATTCCAATGTGATTATATTACCCTGACCAATTATTGAAATCTATCATCGGTAAAAACGGATAAAATTTAAAAATCGTGTCATTTTACGAGAATTAAAACTGAGACATCGACAGAATTTTATTCTCAATTCCGCAATTATGTCGCAACAAGGATAATTGACGTGGCAAAAACCTAAACGTAGGATGATACCAAGTTGAATCAAGGCCAAAGGTCGTACATATATGGAAAGTCAAGTAATCGTTTGTGAATTGACGTTAAGTTGTACTCAAGTTTTTAGCATGTTTTTTTTATATATTCCGCGAGGCACGTGACAGATCATTTAACATCTATTTGGTAGTGCACCCGAAGTTTAAATCAATTTCCGTATGCGTCGTTAACTCGGTAATGATGCATTACTTACCCCTACCCACCGTACGATCTTTTAATGCCCGACGTATTAAAAACACATTATAACGAGTGGCTATAAATCTCACCCCCTCCGCTCTTAACGAATATTTATTATAAAAACTTGGAGGGATCCCTTGTACGCGAAAGTTTATGCATAAAACGGACGATCGAAATGCAAAAGATACGATGAAAAGTGTTTCGAAGCAGTCCATTAACCTGATTACTATTAATCCCACAACTAGGGCCCAAAAATAAATAAATTATTCGTCGTGAATAGGCTTTCTCAGCGTTGTGGGTTAAAATAGTTACTTTACTTTGTTTTTGGATTGTTATGGATTAATTTGACCCTTCGTGATCGTGAAACTGACCAAAGAGTGCAGATTTCGAACTCGTTGCAATCTGTTTAACGAACGAAACATTTACGTGGGACATTGTGGAGAAATATTGGGTATTCGTCGGGGTTTGGTGGCTGAGCATCGCCTGAAATTCCCTCGTTTAAACAAATTTTCGACTGACGGAATTTGAGAGGGCGTCTTCAGCGGTGTAAGAGAGCTTAAATTTCATTCAAGACACTTGGCCGACAACGGAGGCCGAAAGCTCCAATTAACGCGGCTTTATCGAACGCTCCGGCGACAACGGTGCCCCGGAGTTGGTACACAAAGATGCAAACAGGCGTGTACACTGGGTAAACAGTGATCGAAGAGAGACGAGGCGAGAGCGAACAGGACGGCCGGAGAAAGAGAGAAACGCGTGAGATTCACATTCAGAAGGCTCATTTGAATAGAAATCAAGAACGCTCGGTCTTCTGCTAGAATGTTCGCGGAGGCATGCGACAAAGCATCGAAGTGCATCGATTTGCACTAATTATCGAAACGGTAATTGCTGCGGACGGGATCGCGAGCCGTCGAGGAGCCATTGTTGGTAGTGACTCGAGCGATCCGTCGCTAATCGAGCGTTGACGAAACGGAGTAAGCAACCGTGGATTCAAGTGCAGTATTGTCTCTCCAGTTGCCACGATCTCTGTCGTCAAACGTTGCATTCGAAATAAAATGGAAAAGTCGATCTTACTGATAAAAATCAATCGTTAACATCACTTACTTTGTAACAAAACATCCAAAATTCTTGTTGGTTCGTCGTGTTCAAATAACGTTCTATACCTAGTTTTGGTTAAAGACGAAACAAGATTTATTTAGCAATAAAGAATACAGCGGTTTGAACACGACAAGACAAGAGAGAAGCGCGAAGTGAAGTAAGTAAGGAAGGTAGAGGGGGAAAGCAATGCTCGTTTGCATGTTCAACAATTCTTTTCTTTTCTGAGGAAAATTAATCTGAAAAAAAAGAGTTTCTACTCGATTACCACTAATTCGAGTCCATTTTATGTTTCAGGTGGACTGTTTCCTTTTGAGCATCGAAGCAGGAAAGTTTCCTTGGAGAACGGTGAGTGGACTCGACGATCGAAACGTTCAAATTCGCGGTTCCCTGCGATCGATCGGAATGGGGGAAAAAATGGCTTTTTTTTTCGATATTCCCCGGTACGTGGCGCACATCTGTTCCCCAATCACGAACGGGGCTGGTGTAACGCGACCAGTTTGGTAATCTCGAATCAATTATTATCGATTCGACCGTTCGTAAATTCCCAATCAGCGTTAGCAAAGGGTGCACCGGATTACCGGGGCAAACGGGCGTAATGCGGACAGCATAATCCAACTAAAAACGGATATGTATCGGTATCAGGTGGGGAATCGTCGGGGAACCTGGCGTCGATTGCTCGTCGGTTGAGCAATGATAATTGGCAGCAAGACAGAGACAACCGAGTCGAGCGATATAGTAGAATTTCTTTTCGTGTTCATTTTAACGTGGATCGGACAAATCTCCAATGGACTTATTAGACGCGAGTGGGGTTAAAATTATCCTATCTAACAGAAAGTCACGATGATTCGATCGACACTTTAATTAATTCTGAAATCAAAGTTTTGGTCTCGTAGAAAATTGTACGCTTTTGATCAGGCAGCATTGAGGAGATTTTGAGATTATGGAAGACCTATTTTCCTGTAGACTCTTTCAAATTTCAAGCAAACATTTTTAAACACCCTGGACAGTTTTGAAAATTTAATAAAAGGCTTGGAAGTTGTTTTTGTCGTGTCCATAGCTCGTGTTATTCTCTGGTGTACTTAACGATATCGCGTAATATTTGTTTACCGCGATGAAATATGTTTTTCGCGTGGCGAGGCGTAATTTGAGGGCAATTTGTAGAACGAGTCGATGACAACGAACGACAAGGTAGGATTATCTGTTGCACGACCGACTTTCCGATGCGTGTTCGCTGGGACTCCCCCCTCTCCCTGGACTTCGTTTAATGACTGTCAATTTTCGAGCAATTTCGCGATCCTCTTCAGAAATGCATTAGGACTCAATTACAATCTGGTTTTTCGAGCTGGACGGAGGGAGGGCACCGCGGGTGGCAATAATTCACGGCAAAAGTCGGCCTCCCGATGCCTCATCGTCAATAATACGTCGGTGTATTATCGATAATGTATCCGACTACAGTCGGTACGCGTAGGTGGCCAATCAACAACTTACTTTTTTCAGCAAAGACGCGAGCAGAGGCGTGGGCACTTAATTGGATGATTGGCCCCGACTATATATCGTCGATAAATTGGCGCAAACTGAACAACGAGAAAAAAAAAGAAACGGGGGTCGGAGATCGAGTCTTCCTCGTAACGAGTAAAGTTCATTGTTACGAGATGATAATAGTTCCGCAACAACCTCTCTAACTATAGTTTAGAACGTTGGTCAAAATTATTTTGTTAGAGAAAAATGAAAGAGCTGTACTAACTAGAGCTCCTTTTCAATAATTACATTGAAGATCAAAATATATTTAATATACTCGAAGATACTATTCCACTGTAACAAATGAACTTGGAGTGTTGGTCAAAATTATTTTGTTCTTAGAGAAAAATGAGAGAACTATACTAACTAGAGCTCCTTTTCAATAATTACATTAAAGATCAAAATATATTTAATATACTCGAAGATACTATTCCACTGTAACAAATGAACTTGGAGTGTTGGTCAAAATTATTTTGTTCTTAGATAGAAATGAAGAAAGCTATACTAACTAGTGCTCCTTTTCAATAATTACATTAAAGATCAAAATATATGTAATATACTCGAAGAAACTATTCCACTGTAACAAATGAACTTGGCAAAATTATTTAAAAAATGAATTAACGTGCCCCAGCAATGTATTTTACACGTCCAGGAAGGTCTCATGAACATCCAGAAATTCTTTGTTTCTTTTCAACCTTATGTGCTGTCAAAGTGGTTAAAAATTTCTGAAATATTTGTCCATTTTGTTTCGAGTTGTTTGTACTGTATTAGAGCGATCCGCTTTCTCTAAGTTGACAATGAACGGAAGTAACCGTAGTTTGATACGAAAGGTTTCTCGGTGGAAACTCCCGAAGTTTCGTGCAGTTTCCATTAGCTCGGCCATAGCTACACCCAGTGGATATCTGCTTGTCAGTCGACGTTAGAGTAAATTGCCATCTTGATAAATTCGATCACAGGTATCAAACGCTTAGATAGAGACTGGTAATTTTCGTACTCGCCGCGATCGACGCTGATTACGCGGATGTTTATGCATTTATGGGAAATTTTAATCCTCAAGAAACTACAGAATGCATTTAATATGCAAAAATATAGGAAATACTTCAAGTAAGATACGAATTATTATATTTAAGGGTTGAGACAATCATCTACAAAGCTCCTTTATTAATTCTATTAATAAAAATATGAATTTGCATAAAGATCCGCAGTCTAGTTATTACTTTACCTTCTGTACAGTTTATAACGCTCGTGTGAAGTTAGAATAAATGTGCAACAAGTAGAATTATACGAGGAAGCGAATTTTCAAGACAAACGCGATTAAGGATTTGTAATTACCGCCATGTTTCGGGGAGAGATGCGCGCGCAGGTAGGGATTAGGTAACTGGGGCCCCAAAAGTACTCTCTGCGTAGAATGAATCAGTAAAAAACGATAGTTTTCTTTTGTAATGTTAATGTTTCGTGAGACAGACATCTTTTTAACAAAAGAAACTTGACAACAGCGTTTCTAACTTCGAAGTGTATTTGCAACTAGCAAAGAATAAATTTCGTTGGTATTTTCGAAACAACTCTTTTAGGTTATATTATCGATTCGATTGTTCGTTTCGTGCACGTATACTTCGATACAAGTACCATCAAAATGCGCATAAATTTTACATATCGTTTTTCCAAAAATACTGAATAAAAAGTTCGAAATTCGAGCGTGCATGAATGAAATATCGATAGACTTCCGCTTGCAGTGTAATTGAATAGTGAATATCGATTTTCGAGATATTCAACAACATTCTCGTTCACGTAAATCATCAAACCCTTCCCCTATGTATAA